GGAGTTGTGGATTGGGCCACACTGTCTTTCTACTGCAGCCTCTGCAGTACCTGGATCAGCTTAAGTACCTGAGGCCAGGTGTGAATCTAGCTTGATTATACATTGTCAATGTGATTTCACCCTAGTCTTTTAATCCCACAGGGTTTCAGCTTCCTCAGACATAAAATCAAATAATGAAATAAATATACGAGTCTTTTGTTTCCAAAGTAGGTATTCACTAAACGGCAGACCAACATGTTATTTGTTAGTTGACTAAGCCGTAACACTGAGGGCTGAGAGCTCACAACAGTAATCCTAGCATTTAAAGAGTCCTTTGCCAGCCTGGGCTACATGGTGAGACTGTCCAAAAAAATTGAGATCAAATACTGCTATGGATTAAATGTCTGTGTCTGCCCCACGCCTCTCCCTCCAATTCATATGTTGAAGCACCAGCTCTCAATTTGAGAGCAGGCTTTGGGGACATCATGAGGGTAAATTCTTAGAAAAAGAGGTATATAGAGAGGAGCTTTCCATGTGACATGATATAGCAAGAAGTGTTCATCTGCAAGCCGGGATGTGGGCCCCCACCAGGAACCAAATTGCCTGGCATCTTGTTGTTGGACGTCTCAGCCTCCATAAGTATGAGAAAGAAATTTCTGCTGTTTAATCCACTCAGCCTATGGTATTCTATTACAGCAGCCCCAACTGACTAAGACATACACAGTCCCTGCACAAAATAGAAACTAGCCAAGAAATCTGAACAACAGTGTCTGGGCATGCAGCCAGCATGGTGCTTTGCTGTGGGGGTGGATCTCAGGAAGTGCCCAGTATTGAGTGGCTTAAAAGCTGCTGCAAAGAACAGGGACAGGTTTGGAAACCAAAATGGTGCAAGCAATGGAACAGCAATGATTAAAATGAAACAAGGTGTTTAGTCCTGTCAAAGAACCTGGACTAGCTGCTCCACCTGCACTTGGTCAAGGGTGAAGTCCCCCCAGTCCCTCTTTTATTGTGAGAGGCAGATGGCTGGAGGCAGAAATCAAGCTAGAGTTCAGCTCCAGCTTGAACCCAACGAGAGCAGGTTTCCCTCTGCAGATGGTCAGATGATGAGCAGCCTCCCTGGAACATTTCCACCTCACCAGCCCCTCCCAGCTCTCAGGAGATAGGGGTGGGTGGGAGGAGCCCCAGCTGGAGTCCTCTCTGCTCCAAAGTCAGCCAAAGAAAGGGAGGCCAATCGCCTCCCTTCAATTTCCAGCAGGGCCAGCCCAAAGTGATGAGGCTGGAGCTAGCTAGGGTGGGTTATTTGGTGTGTAGCATCCCATGTTTGGAATGCTAGAACTCAGACTCTAGTTACAGACCCACCAATTGACAGGTTGGTTAACCTCCTCACACCTCATTTTTCTAGTATACAAAATTTCATCATGACATTCTTCGGGGGGGGGGGGGATCATCCAGGCCAAGCAACAGAGTCTTTCTCATACATCACTGGAGAGGCCGTGGGCAAGCAGATTCTGTTCCAGCGTGTCTGTGTGGGCCTTGAGTGTCTGCATTGCATTCAAGTGATGCCTATCCTCTTGGTTCATGGACCATTTAGGGTTCTAAAGCACAGACTAGCTAAACATGGTACGAGGGCCAAATACAGTCCATTTGTTTTTGTTGATAAAGTTTTATTGGAACACAGACCCACACACTTGTTTCATTACTCTCCAGGGCCGCTTTTATGCTAAGTGAACTGAATTGGGAAGTTACATTGGAGACTCCGGCACACAAAGCCTAGTTACATGTCTTATTATAGAAAAATATTTGCTGCCCCTAGGAGACTGAGGTTCTCTGTGGGCTAAAAGACCTATATTTCAATCCAGGTTTGACCAAGGGCAAACCACTTCCCCTTGCTATTTCTTTCTCCTTATCTAGAGAACAAGAGGATCACTAAAATTTAAAGAGATCTGTGATTGTAGAGTTTCAATACTACATAGAAAAGTCAGTTTCTACTGAACCACATTGTGTGGCCTAAAACAAACAACAAACAAGGCACCAGGCCTTACCTGCAGAATCCAGAGGGGCAACCCCTGGTGGTCACTGTGAGTTCCCACTGACCATGGTTTCTGCCTGACAGTCAGCTGGGAATAGACAGGGGCTTGGGGGAAGGTCAGAGGCAGGCTTCCCAAGCTGTAACACAAGCTGTCACTGGTGGAGAAGTCCTGGGACCTTGTGTGTGCCAACATCATTCACAGAGATTCCATTTTGCTGATAGATCAACTTAAAAACAACAGCCCCATAGCTTATCACTCCATTGTGTCCTGGCTCTGGGTGCATTTGGCCAGCTAGTACTCAGAAACCCATCTGAGGCCTCAGAGACTCTGCCAAGCACAGGGAGCATGACATCTGGAGCTCCCTCAGGAGCTCCCAGTCTAGTGAGGAGATGGCCTATAAAGGAGGAACCACAGGAGAGTTGGGTCAGGTAGCTTTGAGGGGAATCTTGGGTATCTGGCTTGGGCACCAGGTGAGACACTAACCAGGCAGGGGCCATGTGGTTGTGGGGAGGCAGTGGGCTTGAGGAGAGGAGAAAAAGCATGGGTAGAAGGAGAAGATAATGACTAGTTTGGCGTTTGTTGATGCCAGCGTGGGCTGCTAAGACTGAATGGCAGAGCTGTGATTTCCTGTGCAGAGCAGAGTCAAATTTTTCTGTAGGCCTGCAAACATTTAACAAGATGACACATGTTGCCATGGTAATTTTCCAGCGCCAAGAAGAGTCCCAGTGCACACACCTAGTACTCCACATGCCTCCTTCTCTGCCAACCCCCAGGAGAGATCATCTAAGCCAGCCAGGTATTGTCAACTTGACACAAACTAGAGTCACCTGGGAAGCGGGGACCTCAACTGAGGAACTGCCTCCGTCAGACTGGCCCATTGGCATGTTATCTGGGCATTTTCTTGATTAATGATGGATATGGAAGGGCCCAGCCCACTGTGGATGGTGTCATTCCTGGGCAGGTGGTCCTGGACAAGACATGGGGACAAGCCGGCAGCAGCTTTCCTCCATGGTTGTTTCAGTTTCTACCTCTAGGTTCCTGCCCGGGCTTCCCTTGATGAGAGCAATAACCTATAAGCCAGATAAGCCCTTTCCTTCCCCAAGTTGGTGTCTGGTCAGTGTTTTTATCACAGGAACAAAAAGTAAGCAGTATACCCCCGTGAAATGTACGATTTTTAGGCTGGTTAGGGAAAGCCTCGGCCATCTCTGAACCTATTGGGCCCTCCTCTGTTATGACTTTATTATATATAAGTGGGAAGAAAGCCACAAGAAATCATGAACTTAGATTTGTCGTTATTTCTGAGTCTCAACTGAGCTGTGGTTTCCCGCTTGGGAGTATCAACGTTTGAGATGGCTGGCTGGTATCTGTGCCCTGGCTTTGGAACTCAGGGCACTCGTCGTATGGTTGGTGAAAACCCACAAGGCACCATGCACACATGAGTGAGCCATCCATGCTTGCAAAATAGCAGGGTCAAATGAGCAGAAGAGCCCTGTGATCTTGCATGCCTGGGAGTTTGCTTCTATTTCCTAGAGAGAGCCTCTGAATCTGGGAGAGCAGGGGTGATTCGCATGGGCTGGGAGACTGCTTAGGTCAGCAGGTTCCAGTACCAGGCTAGGGAGGCCACGGGTGTGCCTGTGAATGTTACATTGGCTGGCTGGACTCACTCAGACCTGGGAGTCATGCAGCTCTTAGCTCTTATCACACTTCTATGTGTCTCACTGCAAGCTTATCTTATGGAGGCCATGCTGTGCTAGTCCCCTAGGGGCTGGGAAGTCATTATTCCCCATCATGCTCTAGTACCTTTGCATGGATGCTGAATGATCTGACAGAAAGCCTGTCTGTAATACTGTAAGAACTACTCAGAGTAAACTCTCTACCACAAGTGTCTGACCCTTGCTTTGTTTACTGGCAGAAATTATTACCTGCTGATAGTCTAGAGAGATTTTTGGCTTAGAACTTTGTCTAGAACACTCTATTTGTGGTTCAAGTGGGACTGATAGAGAAACCACATGTGAGATAGCCAGGGGGTGCAGTGGGGGTGACTTATCGGCAGTCCACCATTGGCTCCAGCCTGAAGACTGGATTGAGGGTAATGAGAAAGTGTGTAGGAAGTCTCTCATTGTATCTTGGGCTGGTGCCAAAGGGAATGGCAGAGCTCCAAGGACTCTGCTTTCCAGTTTCACTCACTTACCCCGATTTGTGCTTCACTTGGCTCCCTGACCCCTGTCCTGCCTCCTGCCTGTCTGGACAGCAGTCTGCTCAGGTGTCTTCCTAAGCCCTCCAGCAACAGCCAAATGCACTTAAGCATTGTCCCAACAATAACCCAAGAGGTAGGGATTGCTAGAGCCTCAGATGGTTTAAGGAAATCTAGGTCGAATGTCTGAAGAAGTCGAGAGGCTTTCTAAATTGGCCCCTTCATGTCGCTGAACACCAAGCGGTGACAGCGATGACTGCTGGTCAAGGCCTCACTGAGTTCTAGGTGCTGCTATGTGCCCTACCAGGATGATCCAATTCAGCCCTCGCAACAATCCAGAGGAAGCCATCACTGTTTGGTCAAGTGCTGCAATGGAGGCTTGGAGAGACTGTAAGGTCACATGGGTGGAGGTGAGGAGGCCTGAGATTTTGGGTTTTGTTTTTGTAATTCCTCGGGGGTGCATCCCTCCACTCCACACAGATTCTCAGTCGCAAGTCCTTTAAGCTGCATTTGAGTTAGTTATTTAAAGATGGCTAGCACATCTCACTTGTCAAGTGAGCGTTTAATGGTTCCCATATCCACATATAATGCTTTCTAAGACTTTGTCTTCATCATTTTCGCTTCCTGCCTGATCCTGTCTTCCTGCAGAGTCTATTGCCCATTGTGCTGACTGAAGGCAAGATTCCTTCCTCTCTCCTCTTGCAGCAACAACTTCTGTAGAACACTCTACACCCTTTGGGGTAGTAGGCTGTGAAAAGGACACAAAGGTTGTTGAAAACACAGTCCAAGAATGGAGTCATGTGAGAATTCTGAGTGCTTGTAAGAAAACTCCAAGAAAACAAGAGTCTTGCGACCTCAGTTTCTTCAAAACACAGAGCTGTTCTTGGAATGTGTTTTCGTGCTCCCCCCAGGTGCAGCAGACAGGAGTGAGTTGACTTCAGCTGTTGCTATTCATGTGCCTCTATGGAAAAACATGTTTTTGCCATGTGCCGCTTGTCTTTGTGATCGTATACAGCTTGAGTCCACAAGAACTTTAATCAGGTGACCTTTCATAACCCTCAGGGTATAAACTGTCGAATGTTCTGAATAAAGCTGGCTATCTAATGTGACTTTAGTCTGCCTCCTTTTTTAGGGCCCACTATCCCAAGTGACTGTGGAACATAGGTCCCTTGTTTTCCAAGACAGATAGGGGAAAGAGATGATGAGGACATGCAGCCTATAATTCAGGGCAACCTACAACCAGTTTTCTAGGGAGGCTGAGGCAAAGCTCAGTGTCCAGGAAATTCAGAGCTGGTTTCTCTGTTGGGAGTTCTAGAGGGGTGAGTCATTAAGGGAGAGGATCAGAGTGTCACCAAGTAGATTGAATCCTCTCATTGGACTGCATCTACCTGTCACCCATGCTGTGAAAACCTGGCTTGTACAACATACACAGAAGTCTCCTCAGTACATTTTCTAGATGGGCACATCCTCTAAGTGCTGGTTTGGAATCATGGACACAAGTCTTGGTTCCAATGCTACTTCTGGATATAAACTGACTAGTTTTTTTTTTTTTTTTTCCAACTGTAAAGTAGGGATATTTGGCTAGGTACATAACCTTTTCCATAGGTTTTTGGTTAGGATTATATTCATTCACATAAAATTACTTGCAAGCTACAATGAAATATAAAAATTAAAGATTATTTCTGACCATTCTTGTTACAAATACTAATGATAACTGATGCCATGAGTTTCTCATTTATCTAATGCTTTTTGTTTTTTAAACTTTTATTTTTCTTATTATTTTAAAGTGTGTGTCTGTGTATCTGGGTGTGGCTGAGTGCTAGAGTCTATAGAGGTCAGAGGGGTCAGGTCCCCTGGAACTGGAGGTACAGGCGGTTATAAGTCACCCGATATGGGTGCTGGGAATTGAACTTGGGTCCTTTGAAAGAGCATCATTATGTACTCTTACTTGCTGAACCATCTGTCCAGCCCCTTGTTTTTTAGTTTTTTATACTTGGGGACAGTTAGTAGGACTTCAGAGATTCATAATCCCTAGCCTCTGTCCTTGTGATCTAAGAAGTCTGGGGGTGGGGGCAGTGGGTACAATCGCTTGTGTGAGTTTTCTGTGCTGAGACAAGGCTTAGTGGAACTCTGCAGGAGCTTTGCTCTTTCTCATTGGTGGCGCATGCTGAAGACTTGCATGCTCAGAAAAGGATGGAGGGCGGTTATCTTTAAGTTTGAGCTCATACTGCGTCCAGGCACTTTTATGCCCACCATCTTCTTAACAAGCTAGGGAACTAGGTATTATTATGCCCAATTTATGGATGAGGAAGCTGAGGAGGTGGGATAAATTTCAAATTTTAATAAAACTGAAAAATATAAAGCCAAAATTTAAACCCAGGTTATCCACCTGCAGGTTCCCCCGCGCCCTTGTTACCCTTCTCAGCAGACTGCGTCCTCATAGAGCTAACTCACTATGTTAATCCCAAGCGACCTTCTTACTTGGGTCTTTTCCCATGAGAGAGAGGTTATGAGATTTGGCATAAGCATTCTGTTACTCTTTCTTCTTGTACTTCCTATGATGAGACCCTTCTCTCTACACTCTGCCCTGACTTCTCCCTCTCTTCCAGTCCCAAAGAGAGGCCAAGGAGTCAAGGACCTCGATGTATGAAGAGCCTGCAGAGAGCTCCCTGCCCCCTTAGAAATCCTGGGACAAACACACAGAAGACAAAATACACACATACAATTCTGCTCAAGGAGGCCACATAGACCAAGCCTTGATTGCCAATTTTTGGAGACGTGGGAAGTCTCAAAATATGATTTCCAGATTGCTTGTTTTACAGGTAAGAAAAATGGCGAGCCAAGAAGGTGCAAGGACATCCACAAGACCACGGACTAGTGAGAGGCAGAGTGTGTGTGTGGGAGCCCAGGGGCGAAGGGAAATCTCTAGCTTTCCCACTGGGAACTCAACTTTACCGGATGATGGCTCTTTCTGGAGGAAGGCTCAGAGTTGAGCCTATGTGAAGTCCGGAGGCCAGGGCCTCTCCTTTGATCCACTCACACTCCCGCTGAAGAACAGGAAGTGCTTCATCTCTCAGCTCTGAAAGTGCATTTTGGGGATGGGAAAGGGGGGTTGGGGCTAAGAGCGACCAACAGTTTACTCTTGCTTAAAGAACAGAAAGATGTAAGATCAGACGCTTAAGGAGAAAATGCAAGCTGACATTGAGTCCTAAGGCAGAATGAGATCTCAGGAAGAGCTTCCTCAAGCCCCAGGGTGGATATGGGAGAGGGTTAATTCTTTGCCAGTTCCTTCTCTGTTCTGGTAGAGCTGGATGCTAGGGAGGTGAGAGTGGGGTTGAAGTGGGAGCATGGGGGGAGGGGTGCCAGGGAACTTTATGCAACCTCCAGTATTTCCCTTACTCTGTTAGCACCCACAACTTCCCCTGCTAAGGGAGGAAAGAGGAATGAATTACTCAGTTTAATAATTCATACAAATTGAAAAGTTTACTGTGTGAAATAAAGGGGGCATAAAGAGGGCAAGAGAGAAATATTCCTGAGTCCTCTTTGAAAGGACAGAGGTATGAAGAGGATGTTTCTTGATTAGCTTGCTTGAGACTACAGATGATCCATGTGAAATAAGCAAGTAGCTCCTCCCTTCAATGGTAGGTAGCCCCCTCCCTACAATGGTAGGAATCCCCTCCCTTCAATGATAGGTAGCCCCCTCTCTTCAATGGTAGGTAGCCTTCTCCATTCAATGGTAGGTAGCCCCCCCTTCAATTGTAGGTAACCTCCATTCAATGGTAGATAGCCCCTCCGAGTTTCAATGTAGGTAGCCCCCTCCCTTCAATGGTAGGTAGCTCCGAGTCCAGGAATTCTTTTCACAAAGCAAGTCTGGTTTAGGAGTCAAGCTTCTTGTTCAGCCCCATCTGCCTAGCTAAGGAGATTTTACCTGAAAAGCTGGTTTTACAGCAAAGAAAACTGAGGTACCCCCCCCCCCCCCATACACACACACCTAAAAATGGGTTGGTAGCAATACCTAGACTAGAAACCAATCCTCTCTTAGTACTCATACTATGTCCCCACCCCAGTTTCTCACCCTCCACTCTCCAGGCAACTAAGATACCATGAAAGCCAAATAATCCTTAGGGGAATCAGCAGCCAGGTGCTTTGACCGAGTCCTTGACTGATAAGGGTTGGGATGAAGGTCATTTAAGGACATCTCAGAAAGCATACAAGCCAAGGGCCTCTTAGACCTACTCTCCAGCTCTCCTGGAAAGGACGAGTCGGTTCATGCAAACCGCCTGTACAAGTGGCAGAAGCAGAGTGAGTGACGGGGAAGACTCCATGCAGAAGAGGAGGTCTGGGAGCTAGCTGAAGGCTAGACCCCTTGAGGCGACAGATCACACTAAGACCGTTGGCATTTTACTTGGAGTCGAGACAGGATTTGGCCTGTGTCATGATCGGACATTTCCTCAGGAGTCTGTCTTTACGTGGTGGTGAGGATAGACTGTTTGGGAAGGTTGTTCTAGGTAAATAGCCTAGGCTGGCCTCACACGCCTGCTTCTGCTGGCGTTACAGGCACACACCACCGCACTTGGTGAGCACACGTTATATATAGCACGGGCAGAAGAAGGAATCCAGCGGGGAGGATTTTTAGTAATTCCGAAGAAAGAAGATAGTGGCTTAGATCCAGGTGATCAGAAAGCAGGTGATAAGAAGTGGGTGGATTGTGGGTGGTTTAAACAAAAAAAGCTAACTGGCCAGAAAGAGAAGAGACTGAGTAGTGAGCAGTGGGGTGACCAAGAAAACTGGGAGCAAGTAGAGTTCTAGAAGCCATGGGGACAAAGGGTTTCCAAGGGGAAGGAGTGATGGATGGGGTCTGATGTTGCTCTGGGAGTTGAGAGCAGGTTGAGAACTGTTGGATGCAGACACGGAAGACATTGGTACCCATGGCCCATGGCGGAAGCAGGACTTGACTCCTAACCTCATGGAGCCCTGGTTTGCCTACTGACTATCGCTTAGGGTTCCTTTATTGTGAATCTTGCCATCTCAATTAGATTGTAAACTTTCCAACCCCAGGGATGATGAGTCAGCCTGTTCCCAGAGCACCAGGTCCTTGGCAGCTGGGGGGTGGGGGGAGGGGCTCATCAAGCATGCTGTAGGTTCTGTGTGGCTTGCCAGCACACTCTGTCACTGGAGCAATGGCTAGAGCAATTCTCCCCGTGCTTGCTTACCTTGGACACAGCATTTCAGCTCCTTTGGGTCTGTGACGCTCTTCCTGCTTTCCCGGATCACAGCCCTGTTCTTCTTGGTTTCTCCCCAGAGATTGGTGCCTCCGTACATGCTGGGAATGTTAAGAATGGCAATGCCTTCCAGGAAGATATTGCTCAGGTCCACCTCAACTCCGTCACACTGCGAAACAGAGAGAAAGCAGATCATGGTGGGGCTGTGTATGGTGGGGCATCTTAAGGGTGTGGCGGGTTCTCAGCCACCCCAACACTGTCAGTTAGAAGCTGAATATCTGGCACTTAAGGCTTTGACCACTGTCATGAGATGGAGCCGGCTAGTCCTGGTTGGCTCTAGGAAAGACAGCACAAAACTTCCAAAGGACTAGTAACGCTTATGGATGCAATTTAGACCAAGGCAGTGGCCAAACTCATATCCTCAGTTTGGATGACTCCTAATCACAGTGAAGATCTGCTGTGTCACTGGGTCCAGAAACCAATATTAGGGAGATTCTCAACAAATGACTATTTTCATTTTATCCCTTGATTTTATCCTCTCCCTCTGCCTGCTGAGAAGTGCGAGACTTTCAGGTTTGGGAGAACTTCCAATTTGCCTGTCTCTCAGAGCTGTGTAAGTGTTGCTCTGGCACATGTGCTTGCTGACGTAGCTGAGTTTCTTTATCTAGTTTCTACCACCCCCATCCCCCACGGGTTTGAAAGGTTGGAGGGCTTGAGTCTGTGCTTCACTTAGCTGTAAATCCTATTTTGGCGTGATGCTTACCAACGCAGCAAAAAAAAAAAAAAAAAAAAAAAAAAAGTACTAGCTTTGATTCTTGTTCCTTGGGATTACTGGTGATTTATTTCATTTACAGAAGAATGAACAGGACCCAAAGAGTTGTCCTATACCCAAGAATGCACAGGAAAGCGCCACATTTGTGGAATTTGACAAACTATAAACTCCGTGTTTTGTTTTGTTTTGTTTTCTTTTTTAGCTTGCTTCTTTGAAGAACGGCGGACAGCTGAAGGCATACATACAGTAGCATCTATTCCCACCTGGGGTGTCTGCTCCTATGCTCTGGCCGCCTCCATCAAATTCATGGTGGGTTAATTCCATTGTTACGGTATTCCGAGGTGGGACCTAATTAGGATTAGATGAGAATGGAGCCCCGTGATCTTATTAGCCTTGTTGGAAGGGGAAGGAAACCACAGTGTGCGTGCTGCCTCCAGACCGCAGAGTCCCTGGGAGCCAAGGGCCCTGTCACACGCAGCGCCTGAACCTGAATGGTAAGAACTAAACTTTCGTTACTTACTATTCGCCCAGTTTGTGGTGTTCAGGAACAACAGAAAGTGACCTAAAATACCCAGAAATCTAACGACGTTCAGCATCTTCGCCAGAGGAGGAAGAGAGTTGGCGCTCGTTACCTTCACAGTGACTCACCCACCACCCCCAGTTCTTTGAAGTTCCTAATCAATGCTGTCACCTTCTGACTTGTCCCAACCATAGAACAAGAATACAGTGAGCTTTTCTGGTAACTGGGGACACACTTCTCCACTGGGGAGTTTGGATCCTCTCAACGTTCTCTTAAGTGGGCATGGATTCTTTCTTCTGGCTTCCTCCACTGGTCCTATCCTCCCTCTTGGAGTTAGGTGGCATGGCCTTCCTCCTCCTTGCATTCAGCCAGTCCAGTATTATTTAGAGAGAGGATCGTCAGTCATTATCGTGGTGTATGTGGGGCTGGGGCTCAGGGAGCAGGATGCCAACCTAGCGTGCACAGAACCATCCCTAGCAGTGTATATGCTGGGCACGTGGCACAGGAGGCACGGTACTCAGGAGGCAGAGGCAGGGGGATCAGAAGTTCAAGGACATCCTCGGTTACATAGTGAGTTCAAGGCCAGTGTGGGATGCACTAGACCCTGTCTCAAAACAAACAAACAGACAAACAACAACAACAAGAAAACCACCACCAACAACAACAACAGAAAACCCATTCAAAGAAAAACTAAAAACCCCCAAATCCCAAGAAACTCACTGACTATTGCCACACCATCCCTTCAGCTATGGTGGCTGCCTTCCTTATGAATCTTGGAGCATGGAGAGACAGAGGAAGCGGGGTACACTGAGGGCATCACACAATGTTCAGACTTCAAGGGAATACTCAACTATTTTCTCCTCCTCCCATTCATCTAGCTGGGCAACCTCTGGGCTCAGTGTAGCCAGTACTTCGAACCTCCTTTCCAGACTTTTCTTATTTTGACTGTTCTATTCTGCACACACCACAGTTTATTACCTGGCTAATTGGTACTATCCCTGGCATCAAAAACAATAGCACTATCAGGACTCCGTGGACAGGTGGCAATCACACCACCATTTCTTGGGGCTGGAATTCTATCACATTATCATGCCCATAAAACAAGACATGAACAAAGCACCCGGAAGGGTGTAACATGTTACCTACCATTGTTCTTCTCCTTGATGTGGTCCGAGCCTCATCAGCTCTTTTGTTTGAAGCTAAATGACGACACTACCACTTCCACTGGCGTGGGATCTCAGTCACCCCTATTCTCATCTTGCTATGTGTTTCTTTCTCTTGAACTTAGGCAGGAGTGAAAAATACAGCGCAGACACAGGACTTTGTGTCTATGTTAAGTTATTTCCTCTGGTTCTCGGTCCAACCTCCAGTCTAACCAGACCATCATTCTGTGACCTTCGTTACAGCTCTCCCATCATTTGGGGATTAAGTTATATAACGGCAAACCCAGGGATCAAGTCTCCCCTCGGTCAGACATGGTATAGTGGTAACCTTAGCATGGAGGTGCTGTACTGATGCAGGATCTTCAGGACCCTGCTCCTACCGGCCCACTTGCAGTTTAAGGTAGCGTCACAGAGCTTTAGATGAGATGGACCTAAGAGAACATGCCCTCACCTTGGAGCAGGATGGAAATCCAGGTCTGCAGACCTCAATTCTGTGGATTTTGTGGTTTTTTTGAGGGGGGGGTTGTTTGTTTTTGTTTTTGTCAAAACAGAAGACACTACGCTAAGTTCACATTGAATTTTCTAAATGATTTCCTGACAACTTCTATCAGAAAAGTAATAAAAGAATCTATCTTTAGTCAGCTTTATTATTTGTGCATGGGTGTCAATCACTGGCTCTAGTTTCCAGGGACTAGAGAGAAGTGCCTCAATATGTAGTTTTCACTGTATACCCTTCTGTCTTTGGGAAAGTGGTGTGGCATTTGTCTTTGCCTTTCATGGGACAGAATCTCCTGTTTTCTACATGGATCAGAGTGACTTCTGAATGATATCTAGAGAATTTCCAACAACTTGGACTCAAATGTGTGTGAATTTTCAAAGGCCATTAAGTTCTCCATTGCCGTACCTTAGACATGGTGGGACGTTAGCATGTTTCCCCATATTTAATTTAGGACCTGATCGAGTTCGATACTCTGTTGCTGTGATAAACACTGACCAAAACTAAGCCCAGGAGGCAAGAATTTACTTGGCTTACATATCCCAGATCACAGTCCATCACTGTGAGAATTCGGAAGCAGGAACTCAAGTTAGGAACCTGGAAGTAGGAACTGAATCAGAGGCAAGGGAGGGTTGCTGCTTACTGGCTTGCTCCCCAAGGCTTGCTCAGCCTGCCTTCTTATACAGTTCAGACCATCTGCTTATGGGTGGTACCACCCACAAAGTGCTAGGTCCTCCTACATCAACCATCAGTCTAGACAATACCCCACAGAGCAGCCCACAGGCCAATCTGATGGAGGCAATTTCTCTATTGTGGGTTCTCCTTCCCAGGTACCTCGAGTTTAAGTCAAGTTTATAAACACTAACCAGCAGAAAGCCACTAGCAGTACGGAAAAGAAGAAAATGTCCAGAATGGCAGAGTCCTACTGAACTATACTTCCTACATTTCATTCTGTTCCTGTTTGTTGTTTTTTTTTTTTTTTTTTTTTTTGGTTTTTCGAGACAGGGTTTCTCTGTGTAGCTTTGCGCCTTTCCTGGATCTCACTCTGTAGACCAGGCTGGCCTCGAACTCACAGATATTCGCCTGGCTCTGCTGTTTTGCTTTTTCACATCACATCATGTTCTCAGCTGCAGCTTCCCAGAGCCAGGCTTGTAGGTCGGAGGTGTTCTTTGCACAGTTCCTCCTGGGCGTGGCTACACAGTGCCTTTGTCTCTGTGTACAACCCCCTTAGCGCATGCGCATCCTGGCCTCTCTGCTGCTGTCACCATGACTTGGAAACAAGAGCCCCTTTCCCTTCTCAATGTGTTTAATGATCTGTTGCGAGTTTATCTTGGAAAGTGTTCTTATTGGTTCACCCTTCCTAGGCTATTGCTAATTAGGAATTTAGGCTCTGGCCCACTGTGCCAAAACTTGTCTGCACTTCAGAATGGGCTTTCCTCAACTCTGTGCCTGGAACTGTCCCCTTTCCTGCATCTCTTCCTAGATCCAATAGCTACTTCCCTTCCTGGTTGGAGTAACTTCCATAGCACTTCCATTTATTCATCGTTGATTGAAATATCTCTTCCCTTCTGAGAAGTAGTAATAGTCACAGCGACCCTTGGCCAGACTTCCTCGGGCACCAGGCTGGCCTTCACCTACCCTGTCTCTTAGGATCCTAGCGGTGAGGGAGATACCACTGCTGCCCCAGCGGGTGGTGGAGGCGCTGGCTCAAGGTCATTGCACAGATGTAGCCGGAGGTTGCCAATGCCGGCGCTGGATGCCAGGTTCCACCCTAGAGATGAGGTGGTGAAGCTGATGCTGATTTACAGCAAAATTCAGCTTGCAGCTGTTGTTTGAATAATTGGATCTCCCACTGCCGTTCTATCTTATAAGGGCTTAGACATTAGTGTTATGAAATCCCGTCTCTAGGCCAGATTTGTTTAAAAACAACCCACAAAACCAAAGAACTAGACCACCAGCACTCTCCTTGACAAATAGGCACCTTTCTTCCTTGCCAGCAGCCTTAAGTGTCCTCTGTCTGTCTGTCTGTCTGTCTGCAGCCATATCCTGCTAGGAGTGTTCACCGTTGCTGCCTCCCTAGAAGAGCAGTCCTCCTCTGTTCTTGGTAGACTGTCCTCTTACATTCTCTATCCGGTGTAAAGTGGGGCAAACAGGAGACATGGGAGGATTCTGAGGTGTTTGACACTGAGGTCTCTACCCACCCTTGGGCTCTGAGACAGAGGGATTTAAATCCTGGCTCTCTTGTAAGACTGCTGTGTGATTCTGGCTTGGTTCTTAATCTCTCTGAGCTTTAAGCAGTCAACTAGAAAATGAAGGTGGGGAATGATGGAGTTTTGGTGGGGGCAGAGGCAACCCCTAACTCCTGCATGATTTGACCTCCCCCTGCTCCCTGCCATTGGCTGGAGCAGTTTAATGCCGCCGCCGCCGCCGCTCCTCTGCACACCTGCCTCCTAGCCCCAGTCTCTACTTCCTTCAGAACTCCGCGAAGATGCAAGGCTTGCTGTACTGAGTCTAAGAAAGTGGAGCCGGGAGTGGAGCACTTGAGGGCCTAACTGGAACACAGGACATGGCCTGTTCCCCAGCTAAATCCTCCGTGCTCCATGACGTCACCCCCACCCCCCCACCCCCACCCCCGTGACTGCAGGGAGAGCCTAGAGGCCCTTTCCTGACGCCCTGAACTAGGCTGGGGTTCTCAGGCTCGGCTCCTGAGCCCTGGTTGGGGCTGCACCGCCCCAGCATTTACAGCTAGTCATGCTGCTCAGAATCGGCGCAGGGGCAGGTACTGCAGGGGCCACCGAGGCCTGCTCAGCTCCTGCCCTGTGACCCCAGGCCCCACAGTTCTGACTTCCTCAGAGCGGGATGGTTCTGGGGAGAAGGTCGTTGTGACTAGGTTAGGAGGCCACAGGCCTTGCTGAGCAAATTACTAAAGAGCTCAGGATTAGTGGTGTTCTCCCTCCACCCCGCTTTGGGTCTCTGCAATTCTGGGCTGAACCTAGACTCTCCCAGCTCTCGTCTTCGCTGAGGGGGTTGACAGCATCAGAGGGGAGGGAGGCAGAGCATCATGCACCCTGCAGCAGGGCCCCCTCGGTAACCTGAAAAGGTAGAGGGGAGGCCTCCTGCATTCAAGCCCCGTCAACCCTTTCCTGCAGGTCCTCGGGGACAGAGAATCTATTTATTTGGCGACCTCTTTCAGTTTTTAGGCTGCGTTATCCCTAACCTGGATTCTCCACACCACCCGCAGGCAAGTTTTTCTCTAGTTTGGTAGCAGATTGTTTTTCTCTCGAAGCTCCACCCACCACTGGGCTGGGTCTGCTTGGGGAGTTAGGAGGTGGAGCTCAGCCCTGAAGAGCTCTGGGGGCTCCTCCCGGCTCTCATCTTCCGGCTCCCCGGGTTTCCAGGGTACTCTGCCGCTGCATTATTCTGATATGTCCCCCCTTCACTTCGTTTTAATCTTTTTATTATGGGTATTTCTAAAGGTGCAGGAAAATAGAGAGAAAATAACACCCAGCACAGAGGTTATATCTGGCATGCATGTCGAATTGTTTGTTCTACAGCAGACCCGGATTTTCTCTTTCCGTCCGTAAATACTGTGTATCTTTAAAATTACTTCCGTCATCAACACTCTTCAATGGCAATCATAATTCCTTAACTTTCTCAACAGTCCCCTTTTCTCTAATTACCAGTTTGTCTGAAGGTGTGACTGCTTTTAGTTGAGAGATCTCAGGTTGGTTTGTTTGTTTGGGGGGTGGGGTTAATCCTTTTTGGAGGCAGGGTCTGAGGAGGATACTGAGCCTCTTCCCAGCGAGTGACCAAATCCAGGAGGGAGCTCCTGCTGAGGGAGAAACACTGGGCCGTATCTATAGAAAAGGTCTTTCAGTTACAGCGCAGAAGGAGAGGGCTGAGGTCGAGGTGGACCGCATCCTGACCTTTGACTGGGTTCCTCACCGCTTCAGACCAAGCCTGAAGGGCAGGGGGTGGGGAACTGACATAAGCCTGGGCACCCCTCCCCTCCTCTGCCTCTCTTTTGAGGGAACAGGATACCAACAAGAGTCAAGCAGAGCGAGCGAGCTCCGGTAGATCACCCTGTGTAGTCCCAAGGTCTTGTGGAGCCCGGGAGAAGACAGCCAGTGGCGGCAGGAGGGCAGGGGTCCTTGCGGATTTGGCTTGGCCGCCGAGAGGGCATTTCAGGGTTCTGGGAAGACCGGCCCCTAACTGGTCTGCCCTCTTTGGTTTGGCAAGAAGATAATAGCTGAGGTTGATAGTTAGCTGGGTCCCGGTAACTGCCTGTTGTAGAGACTACATTGTTCTGTGTGGCCAAAGACAAAGAGTTGGGGGTCTGTTTACCGCCCCGTTTATGTCTGATACATCCCAACCTGCCTGAGACGCAGTGGCTCCTCACAACTCTTCCAAGTGTCTAGCAGGTAAGTAGTTCTCTGCCTTTCATTGCTTTGATTTCCCCAAGGGACACGAAGCTCAACAGAAGGGAAGAACAGTGTCCCACACGGCTCTGTGTCTTCCACAGACCCAGGACTATCTAACCCATATCGGGTGTTCAATATAACTACCTGTGAATCGAAAGCCGAGAATTTGTGGAGAAATCCTTGTTTCCTAAAAGGGAAAACAAGCTGTTCCATGGAGACCACTGACAGAATCTTCCTAGATGGATCTGCCCAACCTCCTTAGATGAATACAGTGATGGCTAAATAAAGTGGACTCAATGCCCAGGACAGGGAGAGATGTGAATGTTAATCCTAGTCTGCAGGAAGTATTCCTCTGTTCATAGCTAAAGTACCACCCTCCACACCCCCCCCCCCAACAGGAAGAGGCATGGGAGGCTGGCTGCTGAGGCAGAGAAGACAGAAGCACTCACTCATTCATCAAGCATCTATGCTAGAGCTAAGGATGGAGTGGAAATAGGACATGACCCAGTTCCCCAGGTGCTTTCTCAGTCAGTGTTGGAGACAGGTGCTGCTAACCGCTCACCAGCAAGGCCTCCAGAAAAAACAAAACCAAAGAGCAAGCAATTGTGTTCTAAGGTAGGAACGCTCTGACTATAGCCAATCACAAGCTACAACAGCATCAACAGAAAGAGTCGGGAAGAGAGGCACCAGCAGGCAGGCCGGCTTTGATAACTGATGGGCAGAGACAAAAAGACCCAGAAGGAAGCTCATACCCTTCTATCGCAGGGCCTATGGCTGAATTAGAGAATTCACTCTGCATGTAAGAAAAGTAGCCAGGGAAATCACTGTATTTGCTTTCTCTAGAGAAGAACAAGAGTGAGTGCTTTCAGAGTTAATGTCTGCTACGTACTGTGAGGGAAGAAACCATGCTATATTGAGTGGAGAGAGTGGTCTTGGAAGACAGTCTACCTGTCTGCACACAAAAATGGGTCTGGTGTGTAGGTAAATCTTACAGGCAATAGCTTGCCCTGTGTTCAGAGAGGCTATTTGATATGATTTTAGGAGCTGATATCTGTCGTGGGCAGTAAGATAATAACATCCACATATAATAATGCACATCATTTTTAGCAACTTTATGAACCAGGCGCATCAAATATTTTATATCTAATCCATTTAACTCTGCCATGTCAGTATTTATATGCTCATTACGCACACGAGGAAACACTGACGTGAAACTAAGGAAGGTCTTTCTCTTCCAAACTTCTCTTTAGTGCTTGTCTTCTCTCAACTGCCAGGTTTCTTGTATGAGATGCAAGTGGCAAGACCCAGAAGCCAGAGCAATGTAAAGAGCTTGTGCGCGAGATCTGCTCGTGCTGTGCTGGTACCTCTGAGACAACGTGGAGCGTCTGTTCTAACAAGAGCAGTCGGTGGGGAGATGGTTCTGGGGTTAAGAGCACTTGACGCTGTCACAGAGGACCTGGGCTGGGTTCCCAGCACTCACCGAGCAATTCACAACTGTCTGCAATTTCAGTTCCAAGGGACTGATACCCTCTTCCGGCCTCCAGGAATACTGTACACATATGTCTGTACACAGACATACATGCAGGCAAAACCTCATACACATAAAATTAAAAACAAAAACAAAAAAACAAGTCTTTAAAAAAAGTAGAATTATGGATCGATAAATGGAGGTATATAGGAACTGGGACTGTACAGCTCGTTGTGAATTAATGTGATACTATGTAAAAGATACATCATTAGCCTTATGAAAGACAGTCACACAGAAGAGTGAGGAGGATAATAATATGCCTGCAACGAGGACTTCATTCATGCATCCACAGATACTGTGTATTTCTTTTATTCCAAGCAATGTGCCAAATGCCAACTAGGGAATCAATCGCAGGGAACAGGACACACAACTCTTGTGCAGTATCAGGGAGCATGTTCTGAATGTCCATGCTATCTAGACATGAACGGGCTTCTTGAGGGCTCCCTACCCTTCCAGTAATCAGGAGGAGGTCAAAGCCTCACTTACTAGAATATGCTAGGATTCACTCTTTTGTTGAGTGTGTAAGTTAAAATAAAATCCCTTCTGGTTCAGAGATCTGAAATTTGGAATTTACTCTGGCAGGCTACCGCAGGCTGCATTTAAGTTTCTTGTCCTAATGTCCCTCTGTGGCCAGCCTTGATCTCCCAGCTGTGTGCTCCACATTCTTTGCAGCTAGCTCTGGTGGGCTAGCTAGCTAGCCTGGAAAGGAGCTGCCATCTGTGACAGGGATGATGGAGTGCTGGTGAATTGTGTGGGCTCAAGGAATGTGGCATTGAAGCCGCGCACACACAACCTGCTGAAGAGCATCCCATGGGCAGAAACTGTTTTCTTCCTCTCTGGCCCTGCTCTGTTGCTATGCCAGGAGGGCACA